GGGTATTCTAAAATGCAATTGCCTGCGGGCGCCAATACTCCCCTTCAATTTTTTTTTTTGGGGAATTCGACTCTAGTTGAATTTTTTGAACAAACTTGATGATTGATTACTTGCAGGTGCCCTCTGTATTATCATTTTTTAATGAGCTAATCATCGTCAGTGTTTTCTGTTAAGATTCTGGACGTTTTAGTTTGAACTCTTTAAAATGCCTTAATATTGTATAATTTTTTCTAAATTTTTTTTTGGTTTTCTAAAATGCAATTGCCTGCGGGCGCCAACACTCCCCTTCAATTTTTTTTTTTTGGAATTTCACTCTACGTGGCCCACTTGTATTACTAATATTATTGTAATATTTATTTAATGTTATTCTACAATATTATAATTTTACTGATATTAATCTAAAATATTAATTTAATATTATATTTTTGTTTTAGGTAACGTTGGAGGAATATTAAGTTTTTTATTGGGAATAAATGTTATTAATATTTTTGAAATAATATTTGTTTTAATTAAAATTATCATTAGTTGTATTGCTAGTTTGTTTCTTAAGAAATCAAATATATAGGACACTTGCAATTATTTGTATACAAACTATAACAATTATATTCAAATATTTGTGTAATGAGTTTAATGTTTATAGTACCTATACTTGCTATTGACATTCAATATCACTCTTTTAGAATAATAGAAATATAGAATCACTTTTTATTTTCGCTAGGTACCTAAAGAAAAATGATTATATGCTTGTCAATTAATTAAAATTTAATAAAATATAAATATTTTGGTTTTAATCAGATAACTTGTACTTAGTTATAAATTATTATAATAAAATATGTTATAGAATACTACCTGATCGCTTGCACTTCGTTGCCCATCAAAAATGCCAATTTTATATAAATAATATGGTTTTTATTTATAATATAACGGTTACCATAACAACAATTTTAAACCAATCCTCTCCCATTTTAATTTAGCCTATCTTCTGTCCAGAAGTCTAACCTATCTCTGTAACAAATGATCCCGTGCATTTTGTTGCCCGGAAACCAATAATTATTATAATAATAGCTTCAAAACCCATTGCAACCATTCATAAGCCAAAATGTCCATAGGATATCTTAAAATACCTGTTTGAGCACCTTCCGGGGTTGGTCCTTTCTCTTTTAAATTAGCATATCTTCTGCACAGAGGTCTAATCTATCTATGTATATAAAAATATCTGATCCCGTGCACTTGATTGCAGTAGCGGATCCAGAAGTCACCCAATTGAGGGGGGGACGAATTTTCAAAAATTAAATTGTCTTTTGTTTAGTCAAATATTATAATAGAAAATGACGTTAAAAAGGCAGCCCAAGGGGTGGGGGGGCGAAAGCCCCTTCTCCCTCCCTCGTATACACCACTACTTGACTGCCTATTAAAATTTTCAACTCTATATGAATAATAATATGTTTTACATATCACCATGGCAACCATTTATATACAAGACATTCCATCAGAAATTTCAAAATAATATACAATTGGATACCATGGTAATATGGAGACACACATGGACGGAAATCTCAAAATAATATATACATATAGTTGCCATGGTAATATGGACACACCCACACACACACATACATTCATTTTTAGATATATAGAAGACTAGCTGTCCCACCCAGCGTTGCCCGTGCCAAAGATTCGTTTGAAAAAAAATATATATTTGTTAAAAAATGTAGTATCCATATTCCTAAGGTGGATTGAGTGCTTTTTATGTCGTATGTCCTGTGTATTTTTATACATATGTAAAAAATCTAAAGTCGAAAACCATGTTTGAGTCGAGCAAGTCAGGCATCTCAAACTAAAATAGATGTACGTGCAACTTAGTCACTTAGGTGGACAATCCGAGTACGTTAGATCGAGGACAATATGCAAGCGGTATATTATCAGGTAGGCAATCCACCAGTGATTAATTTCGAACACAACAATAAGCTACAGTAAGTGAAACCTAGCCACCTAGGTAGGCAATCTAGAATTAACTTGATATCTTTACAATTATGAATAGCAAGTTATACCATAACCAGTTATGCAGGTTTAGCTCAAAATAGTTTTTCATATACAATGTTTCGATATTGAATTAACAATTGAGGTTTTAACTCATCCATTACAGTGACCCCTCTTTTTCCTGATGAACGGACAGCAGAGGAGGCTCTGTTTGAACAATACTACTCATCTGCTGCTATGTGCTGCCATATGCCATATCTCTAGACTCTGTTTGTCCGGGAAGGGCTCAGTCAGTCGGGGTAGCTTCCAAAAGATTGGCTCTTGTTTCAGCCTCAGCTATCCTCACGCCCTGTACTTTGCTGTTCTTTGGTAAGTCCTCAACCATGTTGTAAAAGGACTGCTTGACACGTTGAGAGGCATCCTGTGGTCTAGATCAGTCATTCGACGATGTGATAGTCTGGCGTCACTCTGGGCCCTAGTCATGAAGTTCCCATTTATCGTTAACTTTGTTGCTATTTTTGCCTATATTTCAGCCTGTTGCTCACCACGGACATCATATCTTAGAACGCGGGAGCCCTCCATGGTTGGGCATGAGCCATCCTGTAGCACCCGCTACCTGAGACACCTTTCCCGAGACTATTTCAATGATCAGTGAGTTACTTAATAACAAGATACACTCAGTGTTGTGCATTATCTAGATAAAAATATTTATCTTTTTATCTTCTCTAAATAAAATAAACTGTTATCTGCAGTATGCAAATAATTAGATACATATTTCTATTATTTTTAATAATTTTGATTTCATCAGACGTTTACATTTATATTTCACGTACTTTTAAGTTAATACGTATTACATAATAATATCTTTTTTGTCTTTTTTTTAATTGATCACGAAGCCCGGCAACGATGGCCATTAGCTGTTTGTTTTTGTTTGTAGGGGAGGAAATCGTGGGTTAGTAAACACGTGTGTTTTTGGTTTTTCAGATTTTTAGTTGACACCCTTAGATATCTGCCATGCCCGGGTACTTCTCTCCGAATCTCTTCTCTTTTTCGATATCGTTGGTCAATACTACTTAATTGATTTATATTAATTATTTAGACCAGTAAAAATAATTTGATAATACTAGGTATGTCCTGTTAGGATTTTTAATTAAATATTTGTAATTTATTGTTAAATTATATTTATTTAATAATACTAAATTATAATCAATGGTTATTTATGAAAAATATTTTTAATTTCTTAACCATTAATAAAGTAGATTTTTCCAACACTAGTCAAATTACAAATGTATAATAAAACAATACACACCATTGACCCATCAATTTCAGTCATGATTAACATAATTTAATACTCGAACAATATTCATAGTTATTTTTACAAAGAACCAACAATATTCATGATAATATTCACAATATCCCCTCGAGGGTACTTAACATAAACATTATATTATTTATCTAAATTATCTAATGATAATAAATAACTGCAATAAAATAATCGTTATAGTAATATTGCCCAACCATGCTAAACCTTCCGTTTATTTTTTACATTCAATAGCATAAAATAAAACTGATATTTTACTGAATATAGTAATGTTTCATTAGTCTTTAATCGTTGTATAGTGTTACTGTATAGTGTATACCGAGTAAAACTATTTTATTATAAAAATCATAAAAATGACTAAACAAAGTTGGTTTTTTGAATATTGTGACAAAACTACTTCACCATGTATGCATTATTTTACAATGAAGGGTAGATCGCTTCTAGAAAAGTTAGTCATTAAATAAATTGTATTTTTTTAAGGCATGTACATTTTAAATTGTGATAGTCATCAATAAATATCAAAGCAATGTAGAAATATGATTTAATCAACAGCACAATGATTTTGTTTGTAAAAACTAAATTTTTCAATAATTTTATAATGTACAACATAATGTAACCACATAAATCAATGATCGATGGTAACAAAATGTTGCTCTACGTATGTAGGTATAAAAGATTTTAGAAAATTATAAGTAATTTTTTTCAATAGTACAATTGTTGTATTGATTCAAGTTAGACAATTTACACGTGTAATATGAATATATTAAAAGTAAAAATATTTTCTAGATTACTCGGTTACCCTAACCAGGGGTGGCGGCCAACTTTAATAGACTTAAAATCGACCTCTTAGTATTTCTGGGTTATTGCGATCGACTAAAAGGTAAAAAAAGGTTGTCTATTAACAAAAATATATTTTATATACATGCTTGTTATACTTGTTTTATTTATTTTATTTTGAATTTTAATAAGTAATAATAAAGTTAAATCTCACAGTTATACACAACAATATTAAAATTTATAAAAAATAATGATTTATTTGTTTTCTGCAAAAAAATCAAGAACATAAGAAAGGTAGTAGTGATAAATTCGAACTCATCTCGAGATCGACCTTTTGCCCCCTCCACCCCTCTATCCTATATGTATTAACTAATAACAATAAAATATATAAAAACCTAACATTATTCAGTAAAATAAATAATAATAATATGGGCATTGGTATTATGTACCTATTTTGCCTATAGAATACGCCGTTTAACATTTTATAACATATTTTAATGTTATGACAGCATCTATCATCTATATGTCAGATCAGCACTCCAAAGCAATTTATCATATTGTACCTACTGCATATTTTTAATAGTTACACATAGAGTATATCTCAATACATATTAGTTATTTTTCACATTAATGTAGTCAATTCATTGTTATTGCTTTTGATAAATTTCTGATGTACCTTTACTTGTAATATGCGTTTATAAGTATATTTATAATTTATAGTATAGCATGATGCATTAAAGTAATTATGTTTTATAATATTAGGTAAGTATACAAGAATGATCCATGTATCATTTATACAAATCTTACTAATGCATAAAAATGTTTTAGATCGTTTTGGACTGTTATATTTGTAGTTATGATATCAATAACGTTTGAAGGCTTAAATGTTATGGTAAACATTTGGATTAATAATCCAACTGTAATGTTCATTGAAAATTCAGAATCCCCAATTCGAGAAATACCTTTTCCATCGATCACGGTTTGTCCATCGAGTCAAGTTCGAAAATCCATTTGGGATAAATATATGGACACGAACAGCTCGTACTGGTAAATTGTATATAAAATACACATTATTATTTCTGATGTGTTCAAATTTAATACAGTTCTAGAACGAATAAAATAATTTATACACAATAGAAATTGATTCTTATGCATTATTTTGATATATTATGAATTATTTCATTTGAATAGAATGTGAGATTTTCATTTTTTTTCATATGCAAACAATAAACACTACACTTCAATAAATGTCTGTAAATTACATAAAATATTGTACATTATTCGAATTAGACATTGGTTTTCATGCTTAAATTTATAAAACTATTCAATTAGAATTTTATACCTAGTAAGAGATTCGAGATATTTTAAATTCCCAACAATAACATAATATTTTCATATAAATATTTATGCTGTTTCCGTATAATAGAGTTAAAATTATAATAATTTTAATTATTATTTTTATTTTTATTTTTGCTTATTTCAAAATAATATTTTTAATTTCATATTTCTTATGACTAAGGCTCGGGACTTAAAGCATTTGCTTATTTTTATGGATTGACTTAAAATGTAGCAGAGTGCTATGGGAGTGTATGTCGTATTACGACAAGTTCAATAATGAAATTTGAAAGTGCTTTTTTTGGCTTTTTTCATCAATTTTTCAAAAAAAAACTTATTTCCAGTGATTCTGGTTATTTTTTTTTTTTGACCAGTTTTTCTACTTTTTTTTATGGTTTTATGCTGCAAAGTTGTTTTTGATAGAATTAAAATTAAATCATTTAATGCAATAATGACGGTAAGATTAAATTAACTATTTTTTTTCAACTATTTGTAAATATCGTTAACATTTTAATTTTCAGAAAATCCCTTATTTTTATGATAAGTGCTATAAGTCCCGAGCCCTGCTTATGGCACATAAAATTGTACATAATAAAAACACTATACCAAAGTAATTGATATTATTTATTTAGGGTGTTAGGAAAATATATCTTATGCAATAGCATGACTACATGAGTCAATTATTTTACCGAAGCCAAGGTCTTTGTTTAAGAATAAATTCATGTCTTCTCTATCCAGTTATCACTATAATTAAATTCGTCCGATTTAATTTTTAATCAATTTGATTTTCTTAACACGTCGTTACTAGAAATTAATATGATAATCCTAATTCATTTTTCTATTTTCTTTTGTCTACTGTAATATCGCTTATATTGACCGATAAAAAAAATATGTGGTGGGGCGCTCAACTGCGTAAATGCTCTGAGTGTACGTATCGGCCGGTGCTGCTAGCTCCCAGATGGGTGACCACCAGGGATTTTTAGCTACAAATCCTTGCCACCCATAAAAATGTGTTTCAACAACCGTTTCAACCGTTCCTCCCCCTAAAAACAAAAAAAAACAGCTAATGGCCATAGTTTCAGCGCTTAGACTCAATAAAAAAAAAAAAAAAAATATGTGTATCATAATCATAAATTGTCTGATGGGTTCATTATGTATGTAATTATTATTTGTAATTCACAAAATAATATGGTAGCAAACCGTGATTTAAGTATATACTATTAAAACATTATTTAAAGGAAAACATTTTAACACGTATTATTTTGACTTTATTTTCTGCTATATACTGCCAATTACCAAAAGTATTTATATTTATATTTTATAAATATGGATTAATAAGTAATAAGTTGTTATGTTTTGCAGGGATGACCTTCAACTATATAGAGATGTAATGGCATGCTCTACAAATACGTATTTTCATAGTGATTTGGAAAAAGGTTTAAACGAATATATTGACTACGATCTGATAAAGAATCTTTTGCATGTAAGTTTGGTTTTTATTTATTTAATTTGGGTAAATTATCCTTCCGCTTAAACGATTACACAACCACTAAATATTTTTAAACCCGACTCGACCTTGTTTCGTCATAGTATACCAGTAAAAACCAACGATTGAGAAATCATCCTAACTAAACAAAAAATGAAAACTCAATAGTAAAGAACCATATTAGTTTTACACATATAATATTTTTTGTAACCTAAGAAGTATGGTCATCGCTGGACGCTGGTTGATGTATTAATTAATGATTCACTATGGTATTTGTTTATCACACGTATATCGACTTGCCTCCTAAAATGTTTATATGCAACATTTTGGTTATCTTAGTTTTAAATTTTATCTATAGGATTGTAGAATTAGCTGTTCTGAAATATTTCAGTCTGATGGTAAATGGCAGAATAAAACGTTGAAAAATGTTTGCCAATATATTCAACCAACAATACTTGGCATATTTGGATTATGTTATACAATTAACATGATGCCATTAAATCAAATGTTTAACGATGAATATTATCATAGGTAAAGTTTACAAAATTAGTAAGTATGCATCTATAAATATGACTTATATAGTTTTCAATGTAACATAAATTGTTAATAAAAGTACCTACCAAGTACCAACAACTACTATGATAAGTTTACTGTAATATATTATTAACTCATATACATTAATTTTATATACTTACAAGTTACAAACATAAGTACATTAATAATATCAGAATAATTTGAAATTTCAGATATATTGATTTTTTTTCGAATAAAATTACGTATGTTAACACTGAAAGGTCGAATTGGAATTTAGAAGATGGATACTTATTTTATGCGAACCAACCAAATCTCATGGACATGATTCCCTCTCGAACGAGTGGCGTTAGTTATAGCCATCGTGTAAAATTAATGCTACACTCTTTAGAAGACGATTTTATAAGTTGTGCTAACCTGGGAATTAAAGGCGGTAGTTTTTTGGTGAGTTACTTATTAATTGAATAAATAAAATAAATACATTAAAAAAATTATACACAATTGAAAATATTACATCATATTGTATGGTAACGTAGTTTATGCACTGAAATTAGTATATTGATATTATATGAGTTTCCTAAACTTTTTTCATTTTCTGGTATTATAACTACCTGTGTTTTCAAGAAGGTAAGTGCTCAGAGTCCTCCTATTGCCATATAATATTGGGTCAACAGATATTAACTTCAACAAGGAAAAGTTTTATTTCCCTACAGCTATAATGTATCTTTGAAAATTAATTGCGGAAGTACACCATTAAAAACATTATTTTTAATCATTATGTTCTTTTATTTTACACTTTATTGGTTTCATTTATTTTATAGTCAGTTTTTAAACGTTTTTTAACATTTCTATTATTTTTTCATTAGTGTAATCGTTTTAAACTACAAATATTTTCAATTTCTCTAGGTACCTTCTTAAACAGTACCTACGTAAAATGCAAGACACAAAAATCACTTTAATAATATTAATGGTAACAAATCATTATTGTAGATAGTAAAAATATAAAAAATGTACTATTAAGCAAAGTATTTCTCATTATACCTATAATATGTTATTATGACTTAAACTCTATTGTTAATTAAGTTGATTTTGTTTAGATTACATTTTCTAATCCGGCAGAATATTGTTCAGTCAGTCCTAGAGTATATATTCTACCAGAAAAATACACGAAAATACAAATCACTCCATTCGTGAAAAAAATTAATTCGGATTTAATGTGGCGTTCACTGGAAATTAGACAATGTTATTTGCACAACGAAAGAAAGCTATCCATTTTTCAACAGTACACCGAGTTAAATTGTAACCACGAATGTGAAATAAACAAAACTATATCCATGTGTGGCTGTGTAATGATCGAGGAAACTTGTAATAATTATTTTATTTTAATTTATACTCAATAATCAGTATGTAGGTATCTAGGCCAGGCAAAGAAGAAAAAACAGCCGAAAAAAATCCCAACAAAGATTTTTTTTTTTAAAGTTTTAATAAAATAAATTGATTTTAAAAATGATTTTAAGTAATCTTAGAGCAAAATCACTCATTACAAAAAGATAGAAAATAATATTTTTGAGGGAATGACATCAATTTTATATTTTATTGTTATTTGACTTTGTATTCAACTTTCAAATAAACAAAACAATTTTGTAAATTTAAATTATGTTTAAATTGTTTTGAGACAATATTTAGACAAATCGATATGTGTCATTCCTTCAAATATATTATTTTCAATATTTTTTTGTAATAAGTGATTTTACTCTTAAATTACTTAAATATATAGAAAAAATGATTCTGCGTTAATGCGTTTTGTCTATGTTGCGCGTGGGCCAGAGAGAGAAAACAAATAGAGCTCTGACATCCTCTTAATTACACTATATATAGGGCAGGCAGATTATACTTTTATGTTTCGTATTTTCTTCTTCTTCTACTATTTAATCCAATAATTCTACAAGTGTATAATCTTCTATACAATCAACCTCTATTTCTATAGAATTTTTGCCCTATTAGCCTTTGCAATATCCACATATAATTGAGCACTTAAGACCTGCTTTTCGACAACCACAGTTTTTACCACAATCTTTGGTACCACTGCATGATATACCTTTAAGAAACTGATAGGGTGCTGGAGCTTTCAGTGTGATGACTGGTACAAAATATTATTTTGAAACGTCCATCAGCAATCCTCCAGGTTTTTTATAAGACCTAGCCACAACTGCTCTTGCAAGTAAACTCTATAAGAATGTTGTATGACAGCTTCTTCTGTTGGAGGAAGTGACTCAAGATTAATTTTGTTTTTTTTAGCACATTTTGTAAACAGCTTATAACGTTGTTGGTTCAAAAACTTCTTATTTTCTGATGCGCCATATAAATATAAAAAAAATTTAACACCATTTTTTGCTATTTCTTCATGAGATGAATTAGGATAATTAAAAATTGAAACGATTGAGTTTATTTATCCTTCTGTTTATCTGTATAAATGCGTTTATTTGTACTCATTTTTTTTCCTTTTTGGAATAAAGCTGACGTTGTATCACAACCACTTAGGGCATGATAAAACAATATTTAATTTATCATGGGTTTATCGTATTTTTGTATAAATTCAGTAGTTCAGTACTAAACATTTTTTTTCTATTTTTCCTGAACTAGGTTTTAGAAAATAAATATTATTTTCTCTAGGAGTTAAAGCAATTATAGAAGTACTAATAAGTCAATGCCTTCACCAACCAAGATAGTTTTAGGACGATAACTTGATACATTAATGGCAGTGTTAACAATTAATGTATCAGCATCATCATTTTGCTATTTTAACAATAGACCCATGATTAATTAATTTTATTTAAGCATTTCAATAAAAAGGTATTTAATCATTATCGTTCGATAAAAAGTTCTTTTTTTGAAACAGGAACTATGGCTTTCAAAAAACACATCACTACACTTTTTTTTCAACCTTCTGCGTTGACGCTCTGTACTTTTTATACTATTTTGCATTGTTTTTATAACCATGAAACACAACAATTGTATCAATACCAAAATGTTTTTCTACATAAGTAATATGACTCACAAATTAATTCAAATGTTTGGCGAATTTTCCAAACAATTCTATGTAGGAGAAATCCTCCATCAATAATATATTTTCCGTTAGTTATATTAATACTTTCTAAAGATATTGGTTGTATGATATTATACAATGCTGATTTTTTTTTTAAATATTAAATATTTTCATAAAATTGAATCGTTTACCTTTAGTTTGTAGAACATAAAAATATATTTAATAGTATAAAAAAATGTCAACACGGAAAAAGACAGAAAAGTATTAATACTTTTTAACTACCAATTTTTAAACAAATATTTTTTTAAATTAAAAAAAATATAAGATTACTTTATTTTGTAAATTGTCTAATAAATAACTTTTATTTGAAACTTTTTTTAATATTTGTAATAATTTTTGAGATATTCAAAAAGCTCAAATGTTTAAACTTGCGTGAGCTTATAAAAAAAGCTCCAGTGCAATAATTAGGGACTTTTAGTATGTTAGAGGGCATATTAACTTAAAAAAAAAAAATTTTGGTTGGGATTTTTTTCGCCATTTGCAAAAATGTTGTCTCTATTGCATGGCCTAACCTCACTATACGTAATTTAAATATTGAGCAAACACTGGTTTAGTAACAATGTGGATTAAGTCAATTTTATTAGTTTTCAACTACTTAACTTTTTCTAGTAGAAGTGGTTAAAAACTAAGTGCGACGGTCGCATTTTTGGTTCTATAATCTATAGTAGTCAAACGAGGCAACTTTGGGCACTTCACAATTATACTTGTAAGCCACCTAAAAACTATTCAAGTTAAATAATTTCATGTGGTTACAAAAATTATATGTCTTAATTTGTTCTTTTAGAAAATTGTAATATTAAAATAATACTTTAATTGTTTCATACTTAATTTTCATTTTTAAAGCTTGCCCCAAGTTACACAAACTTAGTTCAACTTTTAACAAAAAATTAAATTTTTAAAAAATTCCTCTCCGTTTTCTACATAATAATGATGTTTTAATGCTTTTATTTAACTTATTAAACTTATAGTGACCTTAGATATGCTATCAGTCTCCGTTAAGAATTATTTCCATATCAGGTAACAGATTAATGAACTTACAAACTTTTTATGAAAAATAAAACTAATAGGTACTTGATGGCAACACCACTTCAAACTTGAATGATTTTTTTTGAATGTTGTTGGTTGAATAAATATTTGATGTTACAAAACTTGTGATAACTAAAAATGTGTTAATACGTTGTTACGACACAACAACAACCGCAAACAGATTATTTTGGACCAAGTATACCTGTTTGACGACACTTCGTTAATTATTTGTTATCGCACCCGCCACCATATTTGGAGATTTTGATTGAAGGCTAGGTCCCAACTCCCAAGTACATATGGTGTTAATCATAGTTATCTACACCGTGAAAACATCTTGATAACTGTGCTATATAGTTTTTTAATTTAAACGAAGACGAACTATGTTTGTTTTGTGTTATAATTTAATAAATATTATTCGTGGAGGTTTGAAACTTCTAAAGTAGGTATAATATTATATACAAATAATATTAATTCAACTTACCCTCTGCCGTATTAATAATAATATTATAAATATAATATAAAATATCCTTGGCTGATAAACTGTCTCCGCTCAGAATCGTTTTTTGTTTACATTTATATTTTAAAATGCGTTTTTAATATGATTTGAAGTTCAATGTTTGACATTTGGACACAATATTTCTCGTATAATTATAAGTAATATAAGGTACATATTATACTTTTACATAAATTATTTATTAATATTTTCTGCATAATGCCCGTGAATTACATCAATATTTAATTATTGATTGTAATTATATAATGATTGTAATTTACTATTTTTTGATAATCCAGTAAACACGATTGTTAATTTGATTCGCGATTTGCTCAGAAACTCATATATTCATTATTCATATTATACTATAATTTATTGATTCATCGTATAACTAAATGCGCATTTCCAGCGACTGAGTAAGTGTATAATATGTGCACATTATCATGTTAATCAAAAAGAGTAGGTAACAACTACCAATACTCATTATTGCATGTATCTTGAGTCTTGACCGTTTTTTTTTTTTGTATTATGATGATCAGTTTTAGGGATGGATGGCTCAAAAATATGTGGTCCTGCCAAATACAGTTGCGCATTAGGAGCTAAACGTAACTATACATTTAAATTTTTTTATTTATTTATACTTACGTATTTCTTAAGCTTCAGATGCGAAAGTAGGTATAATATTATATAACATATTAGTTATCACTTAGAGTATAAGTGTGAAATCCATGATTTATTAAATTTTTATAAAAAAAAATTTAATTTTTCCCTTATTTAATAATAATTTAACGTATCACCTATATTACTTTAGATTCGTACCCAAAAGTTTGCAACATTTACATTTTTTTTAAATTTTTAACAAAAAAATATTTAATAATAATTAAATTGTGTACCTATGTCTTAGTGGTATTTATTTGAAGTAAATTATGTACATAAATATGATATTATAGATTCAACAAAGCTACCGGAAAATCTAAAAGAGTGTAATTGTTTGCCAACATGTTCCATGATCGAATATGTAGTAACAGATACATCAAATGTTGATGATTGGAATTACATAAAATCAATCAATTTAGTACAAAATAAGTACGTTTTTACTCATAAATAGTTTATTTTTTTTTACAAACTGTTCTATACATTATTTTCCATTAGTATTTTCTACTCCAAAACAAATGGTAAACAATAAATGTACATACAAACCTTTATTTAATCAAACACACACATATCACACACTACATGCATACATATACGATATACATTATACATTATATATACACCAGAATTATAATACAATTTAAAAATGTGTACAGTGTACACCACCGCCGACTCAATGCAGAACAGTCTCGTGTTCACCATTGCAGCTGTGTTTTATTATAATTTACAATGGTGATATTGTAGTCTCAGCACAATTGCTTCACTGGCCTGTGCTACATTAATAACTTACCAGTCTATTCGTATATATATCATGCAACATAATATAAACTATAATATAACATTACTTAGTCATATTATGAAATACCTGTCTATACACAACAATACATTAATATTTTTGTAAATTTAGTAAATTACATACATATAATAACGAGTAGAACATATTATGTTGTATATTCCAGTGTTTACAAATTAATTAATAAGAAAAAAATTGTTTACAGTTCTAGAGGTTCTACGATTGAATTAGTGTTCAAAAAACCTTATTTTACAGCAAATACATCCGCATCGATTTTAAACCTGGAATCTCTAATTAGTAAGTGGTCCGTCATAATTTAAAAGTTATG